ACCCCAAGGTAAACAAGGGAGGAAAACCCCCAAACACTTGGGGCGGCCAAACGCCAAGCAGCGAAAAGTCAACAGAGGTAAACCCAAGGTGACTTGTGGAAGGCAACCCCAAGCCCCAAGGGCAGAACTTACAGGGCACTCAGGGAAGGTGACCCTAAGCACATGCAGCCCGAGTACCTGAGAATACTACTCCCAGCTCACACGACCACCGTAAGAGCAGCACTAAACAAGTCACAGCACTGAGACAAGACCGGAGCTGAAGCCACACGATCATGCACTATCCCATCAGCCGAGGAACTGGGGCGGAGATCGCCGGCGTGGGGATCTGGGGCTCCCCCTTCCCCTTCCCGGGGAGGGGGGAGCTGCGCAGACATGCGGCGCGGCTCGTGTGACATCATGCTTGTTAATTCATTTTTCTTGGGGAGTTCTGTCCACTCGTTTGTCGAGTTTTGTTGTTAACCAAAATAGGGGGTTTGTTTTGTGGCGCTTACCTTTCTGGGTGCCTGTCCCGGTCGATGGCAGATATAGAATGCTCCAAATCACATGTGCAATTCTATGGGCCATTGCTCCCCATGCCTCTCTGAGGGGACCAGGTTCTGGCTCATGGTCCCCGGTAGGCCTAGAACTCCACCCACATCGACTGATGCAAAATAGTTAGGGTATCCATATCAGCCATGGATAGCTCCGGGGAGCCGTAAAAATTAAACCGCTGTTAGAGCCGTTAAAATGCAGTCTCAGATCACGGGAAACTAAAAAACAATATTGTATGTGACATACTTTAGCCGTGATGAAGCTGGGAAGTTGAGCAAATTGTGGGCGCTGAGTGATGTAGCACTCGGGGTCACTTGGCCACGTTACCCCGTTACCTCGAGGCGATTCCTGGGCTTAGCGACCTCGCTGCCCGGTTGTCGACCAGGCCACGGGGCGGCTTGGAGCATGCAACGCGGATGCTGCCTGTACTTGAACATCAATATCCACAGAATTTATAAATTAGAGCATTATTAGAATTAATGAGCATCCAACTGCAAATCAGAGTATGAACTGCCGCACGTGGGGCGGCAGTTGCCGCGAATATGATGTTTGACAATTATTTTTATGTTTCTCATTCATTTCTTCTCTATTTTTTTGCTGTAATATTATTCAAAAGTGTGTAATTTGTGGAATTTATATAGTTCAATGTGTGTGGAACATCGCTATGCTCAAAATTATAAGGCTCATATGCGTGACATGTATATTATATTCTACGATCAATCAAACAGTGTTTTGCTCTTATTACAATATATACACACATTGTATATACACATCTACATACGAGTTCACTATAAAGAACCATTAAGTTGGTATGGGGAGTCAAAACACAAAGAGTTTTCTTCCTGTTTATTGGAGTGCTAAACATGTCCTCATACTGCTTTTTTTTTTTTTTTTTTTTTTTAGGATTTCACTAATTTCTTTGTCATCCTCAGTGTATGAACCTTCACTTATAGGAATAGATCCATTACTGGCAGTGGGTTTTGCTTTTGATTTAGCATATGTGAAGAAATATTTTAGGTTTTTCTTTATTTCTTGAATTGCTTTCTGTTCTAGTTGCTTTTCTTCAATCTGATATGAATGCTTCAGTCTCTCCTCGATTTCTTCAATCTCCCTGATTAAATTATTCCTTCTTTGTATGGGAAGTCATGTCTGCTTACCACTTTTGTGCTCTGGGCAAGCGAGCCTCTTACTATCTAAGGTGGGTCTGGGCATTTCTGCGTGCACCCGGGGAGCGTGCGGTAATTCTGAAAAGTGTATACTCTTTTCAACTTTGTCACCTCAATTCTCGTCCTAGGATTTTCAATTTGGTATCATTGTGTTTGCAATAGAATTCTCTACAGGACTAAATGCATATAAACTCCAAAGGCCCAGCTTGCCACCTGCAGCAAACAGAGAAAGTGAGAGCGAGTTACCCGGGAGCGTGCAAAAGCAATAAAATGTGTGCACTCTTTTCACTTTGGTCACCTCAATTCTCGTCCTAGGTCTTTCATTTTGGTATCAATGTGTTCGCAATAGAATTCCCAACAGAAGTATATGCATATAATGTAAAAAATGCAGTGCGCTCCACCTGCCGACAAGATGAAAGAGAGCGCTGCGCCACTCCAAGGCTCCTCTCATTACATTAGAGAGCACGGTAATACTTAAAAGTGTATACTCTTTTTCAAGTTTGTCACCTCAATTCTCGTCCTAGGATTTTCAATTTGGTATCACTGTGTTTGCAATAGAATTCTCTACAGGACTAAATGCATATAAAGCCCATAAGCCCTGCAAGAAAGTGAGAAAGTGAGAGCGTGTTACCCGGGAGCACACAAGAGCAATAAAATGTGTACACTCTTCACTTTGGACAGCTCAATTCTCGTCCTAGGTCTTCCGTTTTGATATTGTGTTCGCAACAGAATTCCCTATAGGAGTATATGCAAGTATAATGTCCAAAAGCCCGGCATACTACTCACAGCAAACAGAGAAAGTGATGGAGCGTTACCCCAGTGAGCGCTAATATAGAGCAATAAAATGGGTATACTCTTTTCAACTTCGTTACTTCAATTCTGGTCCTAGGTCTTTCATTTTGGTATCAATGTATTCACAATGAAATTCCCTACAGGAGTATATGCATATAATGTCCAAAAACCGCGGCAAAACCTTCCTGAAAACGTCACTACGTTGCCGAACCGGGGACTCAATGCCGAGTCCTTACTGAACTTCCCTCTTATTTAACGGAGGACTCAATGCCGAGTTCTTACCGAGCATAAGTGTTAAGCATTTCCGTTATTTTTTCCCTTCTTTTTGTAGTGTCGTCTGCGTTCAGTCAGACTGTATATGCTTTAGAAGTCAGTTTTTCTATTCCTTGTATAGGATTTGTATTACTTAGAACAGTGTCCTATTGAATGTTAATAAGCTCCCTGTTTATTTTCTCCCAGTCTATCCTTTTATTATTAAAATTAAATTTACTGAATAACTCCTCTCGCTTGATCATTGTTTTAGGTCTATTCAGAGTATTGATGGTAGTTTGCACTTCAATGAGCTTGTGAACTGAGTATGTGGTATCTGAGATCGTAATGTCCCCGATTGTGTCTTCATTGTTTGTGAAAACCAGATCTAGACCATTTTCGTTCCTAGTTGGCTCTGATATCTGTTGATTGGGTGAAAATGTGTCACAGAATCTAAGTAGTTCTCTAACCTGTGGTTGGTTATGTCCAGATAGATTTCCTGGTACAGTATAATATTATTGTTTGCTATTCTCCCACTTCAACTAGGCAGGTTTAAGTTTTAACCACTGGACTGCGCCAACCAAGAAAACTCGGTCGGTGGGAAACTGCGCCAACCGAGAAAACACTTTTTGATTTTTTCGTACCCATTCAAAATGTGTGTGCGGTAGGTTGTGTACGAAATGGACTCTTAGGACCTCCAGTGAGAGGCAGCCATCTTGGAAAAAATTCCCAGAATGCCCTAGGGCTGCTGGCTGGGTTAGTACTGTGAGCAACCATGGGTGGCACACGCGCCTCTGGCTCCCAAACATCTGTCCGACACAAGTGTTGAAAGATCGTGCTCTGTCGGTGAAATTCAGACCTTATTGTTTGAAGAACATAAGGGTCATGATATTGGTGAAGCTAGGCGCAATAAGGACCTAACACAAAGGTCGGATGCAAGTGATACAGCACCTATGAGGACGATACAGCGAGCGTATCCAGTTGTAGCTCTGAGCGCCACCCTTGCCCACCTATGCCATCTCCAATTTATATAGATGATACATAGATGAATCGTTTTCTGCGTTCAGTGATGATGCATCTGATACAAGTAGCATAGATGAACAGTGTTAGTGGCTTCCATGGTGGTGTTTTCCATAGATATTTTCAAGAATAGCTGAATCTCTTCCAGAATGCCTGAATCTCTTCCAGATTGACTGACACTCTTCGAGGTTGGCTGAATCTCTTCCAGTGTGGGACCTTACAAAGTGATCTTTTCAAGGCTACCTTACAAATTTATCTTTTCCTTTAATCTTTTCAATGCTACCTTATGCTTTACAAGCTTGGCTAGCTACATGTTACCTACAAGTACTAAAGCCAAGGGAGTATGTGAGTGCGTTATTTGCAAGCACACTGAGCGAAGAAACAGTAATGAAAATCTATCTGTACCTGGTGCAATGAGAGCGAGGTCGCGCTGTGTACCATGGAATACTTTGTTGATTATTACTCACTTCCGAAGTACTGAGTGTGTAATACAGCGTGTTACTGTGTAGTGTGTGAAACTGTACATATTGTAATTTTAGTGAAATTTTAACAAATAATATTGCAACAATAAACATTTATTGTGGACACATTACTGGCACATGTATCACAGTTCCATGGAACATTATGAATGTTCTACTGTATACATATTGTAAAGGACACAAATATGCATCATATACGATAAAAAAACAAATAAAACTGCATTGGAAATACATAGAACAAATAATTGAAAATATATTTGTGGCAACTCGCGGTGCTTGAATGGCCCGCGTGACCATGTCTGGGAGCTTCACGCACGGGCGACCAGCCCCTGATGATGTTACAGTGCACCTTGTCCACATCCCCACAGCCAAAGTAAGTGGAATTTGGTATTTATTTTTACATAGATATGTTCAGGGAAGGGAATTTATCATTTTACAAAGAAAAAATTATTTTTTGGAACACTTGATTTCATGCACACAGGGGAGATGTCACAATAAACTCGTTGCATCACAGTAGTTGACTCATCGCCTGCACCTTAATAAGCTTTCTACTTTCTAGTACTGAATTATTAAATCTCATGAACTTTGGTATTAAATTTCTCAAAAACCACATTTAAATAGTACTAGTAAAATTTATTCTTGCTGCTCAATTTGAAATTTTCACTATACTGTATATCAAACTGGAGAACCTCAACTCCATTACATTCAAAACTGATAAGAATAACTATGATATATTGGACTGAGATATGGTTAATTTACTTACCTATATATTACATTAACCAATGCATCATTGTAATTGTCCCGACCCATTTCTGAGATTCTCTCCATTAGTGTGTAGATCATGCCAGAGAACTGAAGCTCAAACCTTGATATGGTCTGCTCAAAGCTTTGGCTGTCTTCATGTGTCGTCGCTGGCTCAGGGGACTCCTATCATAAAGCAACACATCTAGTTAGTGTTACATCTCTTCATTAATTTGACACTCACACAGCCAATGGAAAAGTAAATGTACACTAACTGCTAAATTTTACAAAACTCTTATTATTATTATTGTATATGTGTATTATATATATATATATATATATATATATATATATATATATATATATATATATATATATATATATATATATATATATATATATATATATATATATATATATATATATTATATATATGTCGTACCTAGTAGCCAGAACGCACTTCTCAGCCTACCATGCAAGGCCCGATTTGCCTAATAAGCCAAGTTTTCATGAATTAATGTTTTTTCGACTACCTAACCTACCTAACCTAACCTAACCTAACTTTTTCGGCTACCTAACCGAACCTAACCTATAAAGATAGGTTAGGTTAGGTTAGGAAGGGTTGGTTAGGTTCAGTCATATATCTACGTTAATTTTAACTCTAATAAAAAAAAATTGACGTCATACGTAATGAAATGGGTAGCTTTATCATTTCATAAGAAAAAAATTAAAGAAAATATATTAATTAAAGAAAACTTGGCTTATTTGGCAAATCGGGCCTTGCATAGTAGGCTGAAAAGTGAGTTCTGGCTACTAGGTACGACATATTATATATATATATATATATATATATATATATATATATATATATATATATATATATATATATATATATATATGTGTATATATATATGTGTATGTTGTACCTAGTAGCCAGAACGCAGTTCTTGGCCTACTATGCAAGGCCCGATTTGCCTAATAAGTCAAGTTTTCCTGAATTAATATATTTTCTCAAATTTTTTTCTTATGAAATGATAAAGCTACCCATTTCATTATGTATGAGGTCAATTTTTTTTTATTGGAGTTAAAATTAACGTAGATATATGACCGAGCCTAACCAACCCTACCTAACCTAACCTAACCTATCTTTATGGGTTAGGTTAGGTTAGGTAGCCGAAAAAGCTAGGTTAGGTTAGGTTAGGGAGGTTAGGTAGTCGAAAAACAATTAATTCATGAAAACTTGGCTTATTAGGCAAATCGGGCCTTGCATAGTAGGCCAAGAACTGCGTTCTGGCTACTAGGTACAACATACAAATATATATATACATAAATATATATAAATATATATATATATATATATATATATATATATATATATATATATATATATATATATATATATGTCGTACCTAGTAGCCAGAACGCACTTCTCAGCCTACTATGCAAGGCCCGATTTGCCTAATAAGCCAAGTTTTCATGAAATAATTGTTTTTCGACTACATAACCTACCTAACCTAACCTAACCTAACCTAACCTATAAAGATAGGTTAGGTTAGGTTAGGTAGGGTTGGTTAGGTTCGGTCATATATCTACGTTAATTTTAACTCCAATAAAAAAAAATTGACCTCATACATAATGAAATGGGTAGCTTTGTCATTTCATAAGAAAAAAATTCGAGAAAATATATTAATTCAGGAAAACTTGGCTTATTAGGCAAATCGGGCCCTGCATAGTAGGCTGAGAAGTGCGTTCTGGCTACTAGGTACGACATATATATATATATATATATATATATATATATATATATATATATATATATATATATATATATATATATATATATATATATATATATATATATATATATATATATATATATATATATATATATATACTGTATATATATATTTATTTATTTGGTGAAAGAACATTGTTATTTTCACTGTACATGTTATAAGCTGTAATCTTTTTGATAATGCTTTGGGGAGCCTCTTGTAGTTCCCTTAAGATATACACCGAGATGGTTCCCATCTACCAGGTCGCATCGATGGAGTTTTTAGTCCTACCAGGGACCAGTGCCAGAACCTGGCTCCCTTCACAGAGCCACAAGCATGGTGACATTTTGGCACCTCACCAGGAATAATATCCAGAAAGTTAGCAAGTCAGAACAAACCACTGATGAGTTCAATATAGACCAAAGCCTTGCAACCTGTCTAATGTAAATAAACCCCCATGTAAATAAACGATAAAATCTCTCAAAACTAGTGTGTGTTTGTTTGCCCCACCTTCTCCTGTTCGTCTGGGAGGAAGGGGGGAAGGGGCTCACCCTTTTCAGGGGTCTGAGCTGTCATTTCTTATGCTAATTATGTTGTCACTTGACTGTAGTGGTTTCAGGGTTTGCCTTCCTTCTGTGCGACCTCTCTTGTTTAGCTAGGAGATTTTGGGTTTTTACCTTTGGTGGCTTTTCTTTTACAGTGGAACCTCAGTTTTCGAATGCCCCTCTTTACGAATTTTTCATTTTTTGAGCTCAATTTCTTCATAAAATTTGACTCGGTGTTCGAGGTTTGCCTCGCTTCTCGAGTTTGTTGATACACGTATGCGCTGACCAACCGCGTGGCGCGCTTCAGCTTATCAGTGTCTCCCGCCTAATGACGACCGGGCTACAATTCTTTGTGAAGAATTTCATTGTTTTTGTGATTTTTTTGGTTTCTGAACATAAAAGTTCTTATTACATATCATGCCATGAGTCTCTGAAAGCATTTCAGAAGCCATCATTTGTAAAAATGCAAGGCTATTCCATGAAGATCTTGCAAAGAAAACCCTTGAACAAGTGATGCAGATATGAACGCATTTAAGACGAGCAGGGGATGGTTTGAGAAATTTAGAAAATAATTGGTATTCATAGTGTTGTGAGGCATGGGGAAAACAAATATCTATAGACAGATTTTTGGTAAGATGAGCAAGCAATGAGCCACAACCAGATCCTAGTGGTATGCCTGATAAATCTAGGAGAAAGAATACCCCAGAGATGTCATCACTGCTTGATGTTATAATAGAAGGGGACTCCCCTTCCAAACACTAACACCTCTCCCCCCCCCCCCTTCCTCACCGTCTTCCATACACCAACAAGAGTCCTCAATATGGGTAAGATATACTGTACTTGTATATACTGTAGTGCAAAATATTAGTAGTAGTATGTATAAAATGTATTTTTAAGTTAATATTTTAGGATGTGTGAATGGATTAATCCAATTTACATTATTTCTTATGGGAAAATTTGTTTTGTTTTTTTAATTTTCAGTAGTTGAACCATCTCTGGGAATGGATCAAATACGAAATCGAAGGTACCACTGTATACTGTAGTTTAGTATATGTAGCATGAACCTGGCTCATATAGTGCTTGGAGCTGCATGTGCTCAAGGTTACCTTCCCTGTGTGCTCCTTAGTGCTGCCCTTGCATTGCCAGAGCTGTCTTCTCTGGAGTACTGTACTTGGATTGTACCTGGATAGGATTCTGGGAGTTCTTCTACTTCCCAAGCCCAGCCCAGGTCTAGGCTTGACTTGTGAGAGCTTGTTCGGACAGGCTGTTGCTTGAAGTGACCCGCAGGCCCCCATACAGTATCCACATCAGCCCCTTTGGTCTGGTACTTCTTGCAGAAAACTATCCAGCTTTTCCTTGCAGACTTCCAATTTTGCTCTGGCAATATTTCTTATAATTGCTGGAAGGATACTGAACATCTGTGGACTTCTGATGTTCAGGCAGTGCACTCCGATTGTGCCTATGGCACCTCTAATCTTCGTTGGCTCTATTCTGCATTTCCTTCCGTATCGTTCACTCCTGTACATTACTATTTTACTGAGTAAGTATGGACATGATCCTTCAGTATTTTCCATGTACAGGGAAACCTCAGTACTCACACTTAATTGGTTCCTAAAGGCAGGTCATGTGCCAATCTGTTCAAGTACTGAACAATTTTTTCCCATAAGAAATAATGTAAATTGGATTAATCAATTTCAGACCACAAAAATAAATATATTAATGCAATAAATGCAAATACAGTACAGTATACACTTTACCTACACTTAAGAGTTAATGGCATATGTGGCAGGTGAAGCAGAGGAAGAGAGATGTTATTCTTTGGTAGAGAGTCACCTATCATTATCACAGCTTTGTCAGGGTGATATTTTTCAAGAAAACTTTGCACTTCTTCCCACTTTGCACACATTTCTTTTATTAGAGAACTAGACTTAGGTATACCAAACATTGTAGCAAGAGCAGACGCACGGGCATCACTTTCATATTTTGTTAAGTCCTTTTTTCATCTCAATTATGGTTCTAAAAAAAATTCTTTTTGGGTGGCTATTATCACTAACTTTTACTAACTTTCTTAGGTTTCATGGTGACTTATTTGCACTAAGAATATAAAAAAATATAAAAGAAATTTTAGAGAAGTCTAGCGGTGCTGTGCACTGAATGTCAGATGTGGCGAAGTCGATGTATCAGGGACACATATTTAGGTGTGAGAGCCTAGCAAACGGATGAGTATCTAACATGAACACAGCCTTCGACTGCCGAAATGTTTGAGTTGGGAGCCGTTTGAGTACCGAGGTCCCTCTGTATATATTACTTGTTACCTTATATGTCTCCTTTCTAGAGAATCATTTTGAGAGCTTTGAATTCCCATTAGTCTAGGGGCTTTACCGTGTCTATGCGTGCTGTATACAATATATTCTCTGTATTCCCTCTAGTTCAGCAATGTCTCCTGCTCTGATTAACACTTTCCGGCCCCCTTCGATGGTAAAAAAAAAAAGCGGTATGTGCGCGCGGCGTTTTTGCTGCGTAAGCGTAAAAACAAAAATGTGTATACTCTTTTTACTCTCCTGACCTTAGTTCTCGAGCTACGTATTTCATTTTGGTACCAACGTGTTTGCAATAAAATTCTCTAGAAGAACATTAGTAAAAAAAGTCACGAAACGTATAGGGATACCAGCACCAAATAAATAACTACGAAGATGACTCGCTGTGAGCGCCCAACAGCAGCAAAATGTTTTTACTCTTGGGATTGTTATCACCTCTACACTTGTCCTACAGCGTTAATTTTGGTATCAATGGACTCGCAATGAAATTCCCAACACGGTGATATGAATATAAGCGTAGAATAATGATTGCGGCCCGCCCGCAAGAG